TCTTTGCTAGGCGTACTCGATATCGTGGATGGCCGCTACGATAAGGTCGCTACAAGAGCGAAGAGGGAGTGCTCCAAACTATTGATCGTACAGAATACGATATTTAACTACGATCCAGGCAAATCGTCTGGCGATAAGTCTTTCCAAGCCTTTTCCGAGGACGGCCAAGAGCGTAATCGGCCTATAGGAGCGCGGCAGTATCTTGTCTCTTTTTCCCGGTTTTACTAGGATCACGAGAGTTACTTTTTTAAAACAAGTAGGATACCAACCCTCGCATATACACCCGCTATAAAATAAGAGGACAATATCCTCGATAAATGGCCATTCTATTTTCAAAGCAGTCGTAGTGATTCCGTCGGTCCCAGGAGTCGTATTTCCCGCGGTGAGAACCGAAGACCGTACCTCGTCCTTCGTAACCTACGGGAAAGGAAGCGTAGCTTGCCTTTATAAGACTGGGCTTTCTATTAATATGTCCTCGGAGATTACGGCGTTTCTAAGGAGGACGCGGGTAAATAAGTCGCGCTTCTCTTTTAGTTATGAGACAAGCGTGTCTTGGTTATCTACATCTCGGAGTGGCGGGGTCTGAAAGGATCCTATGGCTTTATGCCAACCGACCATTTCAAATATATCTTTGCTTAAGGAGGCTAAGGAGATCTTATCTTTCTAAAAGGCATCCTTGGAGCGTTTAAACTCGTAGAGGAAGTCCTATTTTAGAGCTTCGACCTCCTCTTCTTCCCATTAGCAGTTCACTCCGGCTGCGCGGAGTCTTACTAACATCGCTCGCTTACTCGCATAGGCTCGGTATTTACGTATGCAGCTTTCGCTCCAGTATAGTCTCCCTATATCTTTCCCGAGCGTGCGCTTTATAGAAGCCGTAAATACTTTAATAAGACAGTCCGTAAGCTATTATGCTAGGAGATCTAAAGACTATGGGTCTTGGATATTACTTGCAGTGCGGCGCATAGGTTACAAGTTACATTTAATAATGCCGAGGAAAAGCTCCTCGTCCATCGTATCGAGCCGAAACCTTCCTGGGGTCTGGCTAGGTGAATCGATCAGGGCCAAGGGGACCCGGGTAAGCAGAGATTCGTAGTCTAATGTCGTATATAGTGACGTTTCTATGCTAATAGAAGCCCCATGGAGGTTACTAAACGCCCAGCATAAATCTAGGGTGTTGCCGCCTTTATACGTGGGTTCACCTATAGGTAATATTAGGACAAGGCTGGCGGCTTCTGCCCATTCTACTAGGTTTTCAGCATCCGGGGAACTCGTGGCCTCGGGCTACTACGTCTAATAATGTAAATTAAAATCCCCCGCAATCAGTACTCGATCCTCAGGTTTAGGTTGCCAGGCCGCTAGGATATTCCTTAGAGCCTGGCCAGATCGTAGAGAGCTACGAGGGGCGTTATATACGTTAATAATTATAAGGACCTCCTTCGTTCCCGAGAGGAGTCGTAAAAAGAGCAGGTCTATAGATAGATCGGGTAGAGGCCGTATTTATACGCCTCGTACCCTAGTTCCTTTACGGAGGTAGGTAAGTACCCTAGGACGGTCTTCGGTCTAGTTATCTACTAGGTGTTACGACCCAACATGCACGACCAAGAACAGGGCCTGCCCCGCAGGCTTACGACGGTTACGATACGCCATACATGCACAGGACAAGGGGACACAAGGCACCCTCTCACGGAACGGAAGAACTATGGTACAAGTCACGTGATGATAAGATAAGGATCATTTGGGATCAATATGATCCAACACGACTTGGGGGCTAAACGATCATTCTGGATCAGAATGACCCAAGACGACCCAAGGGACAAGGGACATGTTCAGGATCAGGACTTGTATATAAGGATGGACTTGAGCTGGACTCTAGGACAGACTTTCCATAGCTTCTTCAGCAATTAACTTCGTATCAGGATTAACATCCGCTTTCAGCTACTACCTTGACAAGACTACGACTGATCACCGAAGCCTTACCCACCCTTACGATTGACAGACATAGTTTCCTTGAAACTATTCCACGACTACGATTACTGTTACCAGTTCCGCAGCCTCAACTTCTGCAAACTACCCCTACGACTAGCTGGCCGTAACACTAGGGTGAAAGTCTCAAAACCTGGGTGGTGTCTTATGAGCCTCCTCTCCTCCGAACGGATAGACGGCTCTTATATTAGGAATATATCGATCTAGGCTACGTAAGCCAGGTTTAGTGCTATTTCGTGGGCGGATACCCGCCTACCTATATTCGCTTATATAATTTATAAGGTTTTAGAGGGCTATATTCTTTTTTTATATCTTATTCGCCGGGGTATAGTCTATCGCTTATTCTTCTTTATGGGAATATCGATACGACTACTAGGTCGTATTTCTCTATAATCTTTCTCCCTCAGCTCGGATGGCCCGTAGCTAAGCCTTATCCCTCCTCTGGATTACCCCCTTCACTATTTTGGGTTGGATAGGGCAAGTCGTATCGAAGGCGGCGTGAGGCCCGTTATACGACGGGCATTTAAAGGGGCAGTCGCAGCCATCGTGACCCTTAGTGCCGCCGCAGGGTGCCCGGTGTTGATTAGTTGTGTGGGAAGGAGAGCTGCACTTGAGGTTGAGGAGACCTCTTCTCCTTTGGGAACTGTAGGTTTATGAAAACGCTGGCCCTTATTAAACGGAGGCGTCTTAGTAGTTGCCTTACGGCTTCCGCCTTAAACTAGGCTATCACTGTACCTAGCCTTTCGACTTCGTCCTTCCTAGAGAAGTATGCTTTTTTAGGCTTGAGTTTTGTCGAGACCTGGATCTCTTCAAGGAGCTCCTCGGTCGTGATTTCTAGCTCAGTATTGGTTACTAGACAATGCCTAGTATAAGAGACGTTTACGATATAGGCTCGGATCTAGGTATCGCGTTGCTCGATCGCTTATGCTTGGAGAAGGGTAGTAATCTATTCTCTATTCTCTAGCAGGACTTTTGTACTATCTATTAACGAAGGTAGGAGTACTAATCCTATCTTAACATGGTCGATCCCCTTAAGGGCTTCTCGGGCTTAGGGACTTAGCCTTTCCTAAACGAAGATATATATATCGTAGGCTTTCTCGTTCCGAAGCGGGCTTTTAGGCGATAGATGCGTAAAGACGTATAAATCCTTTAAGGCCGCCCGGTTTATAGCTTATTTTACGGCTTGTTTAGCTGGCGTTAGTTCATCCTGTCTTTTAGATAGTGGCTGGCTCGCCGCCGCCGCGTATGAACGGACTAGGGGCGGCTAGTTCTGGGTTATGTGCGAGGGATACCCCTGGGAACTCAGGTCAGTCTCGCTAGGCCCTGTGCTAATAGCGTATATAGACCTTACTAGACTACGTTGATGCCGGTTTGAACGCTGTTTCTCCTCCTGAAGCTCTCTCTCCAAGAATTCGATCTTCGTTAAACAGTCTTTTAAAAACTATTCCCTCTCGGCGTCCCGACGTAGGAGGTCCTGGACCAGATTCGAAAGCTTATTAATCTCGTCTTTGAGCTCAGAATTATCCTGGTGGTTAACCTGCTTAACTACTCTGACCTTTATAGTCGGCTTCCGGACTCGTCCCGACCGCCGAGATATACTAGCGTCCCCGTGAACCGTGATCGATGGCCCTACATCTAGGGAGACCGCCATGGTCGTAGAATTCAGCTCGTATGGGCTGATATTGAGAGATGATAGTGCAGTGGGCCATAGCCCTCTATAACCTTAACAATTACTAACAGTGGGTACCTTTCGAGGTATGTGTTCAGAAGTTATTCTACAGGACGGGACGGAACATTAGGGAAACCCCAGGAATGGAAGAACTATGGTACAAGTCACGTGATGATAAGAGATATGATAAGGGATAAGGATATGTTAGATATAGGACATATCCAACCGAGTCAAGGATATGTTGGATATTCGGCATATCTAACATATCCAGACAAAGTGGACTGTTCAGCACTGTTCAGTTAGGATCGGACTTGTATATAAGGATGGACTCGAGCTGGGCTCTAGAACAGACTTTCCATAGCTTCTTCAGCAATTAACTTCGTATCAGGATTAACATCCGCTTTCAGCTACTACCTTGACAAGACTACGACTGATCACCGAAGCCTTACCTACCCTTACGATTGACAGACATAGTTTCCTTGAAACCATTCCACGACTACGATTACTGTTACCAGTTCCGCAGCCTCAACTTCTGCAAACTACCCCTACGACTAGCTGGCCGTAACACGATAGCTCTATGGATGTCCAAAACTGATTGTGAGGAGGGAGGTCGGATGGGATAGTCAGGCGAGTCGTTGTCAAGTGTATGTTGATGCGCGACTTGCTTGATATCTGGTATAGCTGTGCAGACGCCCAGAACTGATGGAGAGGGAGTTTGTCGGATCGGTTGGTTAGACGAGGCCGCGCTAGGCGCATGTAGACATGGGTCTTGGATCTTTTCTTTCAACCTCTTAATTTCTGCATTTTGCAAAGTGAAGGTTGTCTTTAGATCGTGATAAAATAAGTTAAATTCGGCGCGATCCTCTGTGGGTAAAGTCTGTATACTGTGTAGGGTAGCTAGATGTCGGTCTATATATCTAGAGAATTGCCGTTCACTAGCCATTTTTAAGAATCGAAGAGTGTGAAAGTCGAAGGTTACATACGAGACAAGTGGTAGACCAAATTCCAAATGCTGTCGTGATTGAAACTGGGGGTTTTCTTAGGGTTTGGACCTATCGTGTCACAATACGCTCTTTCATGAAGCAATGAGCTTTCAGAGCCAATATTGGTTTGCTTTCTTGAAAAAATAAAGTAATTTGTTAACACATATCTCAATAGTAGAAAGCAATCTCTCGTCTTTGAGACACTATCCAGGATCATCCTCTGTCCTTCAGGCAGTGCTCCGACGACCATTTTAGCGTCCAGAGTCTTGCCGGGAGACGTCCCTGTCATCTATCAAACTCCATCAGCGGTGAATGATGACCTATGTTTCTTGGAAATCGACTCACCTCCAGCCGACTTTTCTCTTTTAATCGGCATCACAATTGAACGTGACACCGTCAGGCTTTCCACCAGCCTGGCACGCCGCATTCGCAGACTTGCAGTGCGTGCTATCGGGTTTCACATCCTTTGCGCAACAGAAGTTACACATTGTTCCTTGGATAGTGGCTCCGCAATTCTTAGGCTCCACGCAGTGTCGGCGGACAAGAGGGTTCAGCGCGAAGTCGGACGAAGGCAATGCCGCAGCTAAAGGCAGCAGGATAAAAAGGTTTCGCATAACGAACATGATTACTGGGGCTGAATTGTAGACTTTGCGAAGTTAACCTGAGATGAGATGCGGGTCATGTAAGATCAAATACATCCAATTGCAAGATATCGGGAGTGGGATGGAACCCTCTTTATTCTTCTTCCAATGTCGCCTAACGCTTGGACTACATACGGCAATCATTTTCCGACTTAGTATGGTTGAAAGTTAGACAAAAGTGCAGCTTTTCACAGGGCATGCTTTGAGCCTAGCTGATTGGTGACGGGCAGGAAGGTTTGCTCTCCGAATCAGCCCAAAGTGTGCATCAGGAGCATACCAAGGCTTGCAGAAACGGCGGCTTTGGGGGCATGACAGTGAGCAAGGAAGGGCTACATTCTCCAGAACCTGCTTATTCACGAGAAAACTTCAGAAATATGCTTTGGTTGGGCAACTTCTTGGCTCAAGACTAAGCACGTGTCGTGACGCCGCTGTTCTCTACGATAGCTACCACTCATAGGCGCCAATTCGCAGCGCCATGGTTTGACTTTGCTTAAGGTTGAGGACATTCGAGGCAGTTTGGCTTTCCACTCGCCCTCGTCGGATGTCCGTTTAAGGGGGAAAGTCGACATAATTGTAGATTCGGAGTGGTTTCATCCGATGAGATGATGCACTCTCGCATCGGCTCCAACAGCCCTCCGTGAACTCTACATAGCTGTCTCTTTACATACATCACAGGGATACGGAAACTTATTACTGCAAATTCCATTCTTGTGCACCCGGCACAAGCAGCATCCACCAAGGCGTCGTCCCGAGGTGACTACGGATACGCACGCGGGTGACAACAAAAGCCGGAGGCCAGAGACATGCTCATCGCCCATGGCCCTGCCCATATCGACAAAATGGAAAGCCGCTGCACGAGCATCCCGGCTACTCTTGCCTTTCATGCACGACGATTTCGTTCTCGGATACTTTCAAGCTTCCTTTGCCGTCTCGGATATTCAGGCTTTTGGGCTCGTGAGTTTATTATCCCACATTGGGCACGGAGGACCCTGCGTTTGTAACCGAAAAGCTTACCAATAGACCGATGGGATGAATCACGACATTCCGGAGAACGACCTCGATTATTATTGATGCGGAGGTACTGGGTATATTTATTTCATAGTAGTTCAGGGTTTGGGATTTGGGAATGTGAACATGTTATGGTCAAGGATGCTAAGGCACATCAAGCAGGTAACAAGCACTGGTTTAAGCATCGCATCACAGAAGAACATAGACCACCTAAATTGGATAAATGGGCCAGCCATTGTCCGTTGCAAGGCTGTTTATATTAGGGAAAATGCGTTGCGCGCCGTTAGCTACGTCGACCATAGTTTTGAAAAGCTAGACTTGAGAAATGCATTTACTGCTATCATCTAACGCAGGCCCTTCTCTCCTCATCTAAATAACCGCGGCAAACGAAAAAGAACCGAAAAGAAAAGGAAAAGAAACTCCACCCAGTGTTTACATCTAATTTTACAAATGATAGCACAGTAGAGTACTTTAGCTAGCTACTACACCTCTAGGCCTTCCCACTGGAAGTTATAAACTCGAACTCTTTGAAATGAGCTCTTGCAAGTTCTTGTTCGACCCAGCTGGCGATGTTTTTGACGGCATCGTGCGGGCTCTCTAAATGTACTTGGAAAAACCCCTGCAATTGAGATGGGGTCAACGTGTCTTCCGGTATCGCGCTGGAAAACTGGACAGAAAGTTTCTCAATCTCTTCCATTCCCAGATGTGTTGTACACCCTAGGTCGGGAGAGAACATCCTTACGAACATGTCCGCCGCTGACTTCGGGCTAATGTTGCCCAGGAGGACCTTCATGTCGACGCGGCCGGGACGAATCAAGGCACTATCGAGTTGCTCAGGTCGGTTGGTAGTCATGATGACAATACGGCCCTCCTGCGATCCAACACCATCCAAAACATTCAGCAGTCCGGAGAGAGTGCAGTTGGGCACATTTCTGCTCTCCGGTGAATGTGCGCGTCCATTGCAGTTGCTGATCTTTTCGGGGTTGCTTAAACGCTCCACCCATACGGCATCGATGTCTTCAAGAAGAACCACACATCGCGGCGGAATCTCCTGGAACATCTGCTCCAGATCGGCATCAGTTGCCACACTGGGGATCTTAACCTCGTACAGATCCAAACCAAACTCGCCAGCAATCGCCACAGAAAGCGAGGACTTGCCAGTTCCAGGTGGGCCGTAAAAGAGGTAGCCTCTCCGGTACGGCATACTCCGGCTTTGATAGCGCATCTGGGTCTTCGGATCCAGGTAGTTCCGGATATCAGCAAGCAACTCCTGCTTCACGCCGGGGTCGAAGTGCACGGTGTCGAGGTGGCGGAGGGGCTTGCGGGCTTTAGGTTTCCATGACATGCCGTAACGGTCGCGGGAGTAGATGATGACGAAGTATTGTGTCTGCCTGTCGGCGTACTCGCGGCAGGCCTCGATGAAATTCTGGACGGGATGCGCCGACCACCCGAAGCAGCTGATGGTCAGGTCCTCGCCTCCGATTCCATCGTAGCTGGGGTCCGATAGCGAAGAATTGAAATCTCCAATGGCACGGGTGACGACCAAAAAGTTGCCTCCGAACCAGAGCCACCGTCTGTTCCAGTGAGGACAGTACTGAACGGTATGGCGCGTCTTCTTTAGAGCGGCAGCACGGTCTGGGTTGGTGCGTGTGACCTCGGTACGGCCGGTGAAGGAACGACAATGCTGGGGCCGGTTGGAGAGTATCCATTTCACGACGCTCCGGTTGACCGGGTCACCGCCCGGAATTGTGACAGAAGCGAGGAAAAAGCGCCGAAGACAACTATACGCCTCCCGCCAGGCAGATTGCATCAGTCTCCAAGCCGTAGGAAGGGTGCCGGCTATGGCAACCAGGGAGCCAATTTGTGTGATGTCGAGCTCGGACCACCGAGTGAGGACGTCCCTCACCACGCCCGCTCCTTGAGACCATGGGTCGAGGAGAGCGTGGCTCGCGCCGGCGATGTGGAACTGGTGGGACATTCAAGCGATGGGCTCATTCCGAGCCGTCCCGACCTGTCAAGAGACGCAGACCACGGAATCGGCACGCAGTGTAAGGGAGGTCAAAATTTCGTCAGTTGGCCAATCTCATTCGGATTAGCAGGTCCGAGAAATCTGGTCAGAAAGTGAGGCTCAGGCAACGCCTGGCAAAAGAACAAGTCAATACAGGTGTACGCAAAGAATAGACTAACGCATTTTGATGAAACGAGTGACAGAAGCAAAAAAGGGGAACAAGTGATTGTCCAGAAAGATCGTGCGAGGCCAGCTTGTGGTCATTTCCATGGGATTGGAAATCTTTTTACTCCCCAACCTGCGCTACAAAAAGCCACATTTACCAGCCACGCACGAGCCATACCAGAGATCTCGTCCCACCTTGGGCTCTGCGGAACATCAATCCCCCGACCTACATGAACTTTGGGTATTTCAGGAACAGCTTCGGCCCGTAGTAATCTAGGTACCTAGGTACTGATCCGGGCACGCATACCGGTCGTCCAGCCAAAACTGATCTGCCGTTTGTCCAGCAGTTGCTCCAGCATGATCGGCCAGATGATGCCGCTGTCGGATTGGAAGCCCAATTCGGCCGCGAGTAAGGGCAGAGCATGGGCCACCTCGAGGGAGTACAATTAGACCTCGACTACCCACCCAACCTCCGGTTGGAATCTCCCTTCTACTCCTTACGCAGAATCAATCATTACAGAGATATTAATACTTCGTCACCCACAGGACCCTACGGTTCGAACCAACTTACCTGTGAAAGGAATACCAACAGCCGCCGATGGACCCGCGGCGTGGCACCATAGCCGGATTGAGGTCTGTTTCTGATGATGGCTTTAGAACTGGGAACTCTAGTTTGATTGGAGAAGATGCACTCGGTCTCGACACCCTGTGGAACGACCTCCTTGGGGACGCCAACACATTTGGATGGGATCAGCTTTTTGCTGGACTTGACTCCTATTGTGGTCCAACCTAGACGTCAGCTTGCCAAAGGTACTGGGACTTGTTGTCGACTCCTAGTTGTACCAGAGATGACATCCGGCCTGCTCTCGTCACACTCCGCAGTGTTTAGATTTTTCACCCACCCACTACTATCATCCGGCGAAGGTGCCCTGGTGTATCGTCGATGAAAATCAATATTACCTACTTGCTATTTGTGGTACTCTTTCGCATTCCGTCCCATCTCTCAAAGTTTCTCGCATCTAGATCGAAAAGATCTAACAACCTTCCAATCAACTGGTCGAGAACATCATCAATTGACGACGGCCGCGTGTAAAATCCTACAACAGGTGGCGCAACAATCGCTCCTGCTCTCGTAACCTCCATCATATTCCTCAAATGAATCTCACTGAACGGTGTCTCCCTCACAGATAAGACCAGCCTCTTCCGCTCTTTCAAACAAACATCTGCTGCCCTCGTGACCAAGTCATCGCAGATTCCCGCATTGATCGCAGCGAGGGTCTTGACGGAACATGGAACGACAATCATGCCATCCACGCGATACGAGCCGCTCGCGATAGGCGCGGCCAGATCGTGCGAGGGCGTGGTCTGCAAGTGCTTTCACGGCGGCGGGAGTGTAATCGGTTTCCCACTTTATCGTCTCGGCGGCCCACTTGCTGATGATGAGGTGCGTTTCGACGTTGAGCCGTCGGAGGGTCTGGAGAATGTGAATACCGATCTGCGCACCTGTTGCGCCTGTCAAGGCGACGATGATTTTTTTGCGAGGTGTTGTATCTTTCATTTCGTTGATGACTTTCTTGTTGGTAGTTTTCCAAAGGCGTTCACCGACGTGGGGCCTCTGAAGTGTGATTTGCCGAAGGTGCCGTAGGTATAGTTATCGTATGTTTTTATTCGAAAAGTGCTTGAAATTTGGTTTGGACCAGTTGAATAATTCCTCACCTCTGGATCACTTTAAGTCTCGAGCGATAATAGCCTGGATATTTAATGGACGATAGGTCTTTCCGGCGAAATCGGAGAGTTCAGACATGGCCAATGAGTTCAAACGTGGCCAATGGAGGGGCGCTGAAATGTCCGAGCTATGGGAACGGGAACCACTGAGATAATCCACAATCTCGGCTTCCGGCACCGGCACGAAGTATGACCAACTTCCATACTGGCTCGGGGATTTCTGAGCCCACGTCTCGGCGAGTTCGGGGAGATTGCATCAACGCCACGGCTCACCGTACTTCATGCCAGCATCCGGTGTCGATGGAAGCGATGTATATCAACACGACATGGCCACCTACATCAGCTGCATAGTAACTACAACCTACCGTCAACTACATGTACCAATCGAATCTTCTTCACACTTGGACTCCATATACCTTCAATTCTCCAATCTTAATCCGCGGAGGTAAATATGTCACCATCAAGCTCCCAAGATTTCCCGCACCTAAACTTCCCTTCCTTTGTTGAAGCACTCAAATCCGACGGCGACCTCGTCGAGATCAACGAAGAATGTGACCCAAATCTCGAAGTCGGCGCCATCATTCGCAAAGTTGTTGAGACAGATGAACGAGCACCCCTCTTCAACAGGCTCAAGGGTCAAGATGCAAACGGCTTCTGGCGTATCCTCGGCGCGCCAAATTCGCTGCGATCCGACCCCTCCCAGCGTTTTGGAAGACTGGCGAGACACCTCGGTCTCCCTCCCACGTCGACTATGAAGGAGATACTTGACAAGATGATTGCCGCCAAGAGTTCGACCCCAATCCCTCCCGTTGTCTCGGATACCGGGTCCTGCAAGGAGATTCGCTTGACTCCAAAGCAATTTGACCTCACCAAATTGCCGGCACCGATGCTGCACCGGTCTGACGGCGGAAAGTACATCCAGACGTACGGTATGCATATTGTCCAATCGCCGGACGGGAAGTGGACGAACTGGTCCATCGCTCGCGCCATGGTATACGACAGAAACCACCTCGCGGGGCTCGTTATCGAACCGCAGCACATCTGGCAGATCCATCAAAGGTGGAAAAAGGATGGTAGAGATATGCCGTGGGCGCTGGTCTTTGGTGTGCCGCCGGCTGCCATCATGGCTTCGAGCATGCCTTTGCCGGGCGGTCTGTCCGAGGCGGAGTATATCGGATCACTGGTCGGAGCACCGTTGGGCTGCACGTCCCTGCCAACTCGGAGATTGTGTTTGAGGGCGTTTGCTCTGCTACGGAGACGGCACCCGAGGGTCCATTCGGAGAGATGCACGGGTATGTGACCGGTTCGAATTATTAGTGAGAATGCTTCAAAGATACTGACGATCCTTGTAGATATGTCTTCCCTGGCGATGCGCACACCCAGCCGAAGTACAGGGTCGACCTCATCACACACCGCAAAGACGCCATTCTTCCGGTCTCAAACTGCGGCCGACTAACTGACGAGACAGTAGGTCACTATTGATACCCTCTTTTGACAGCAGTGGGAAACTGACGCGAACCAGCACACCATGATTGGACCCCTAGCCGCCGCCGAGATCGGCTTTCTCCTCAAGCCAAAGGGTCTGTCCATCAAGGAGGCTTTTTCCCCCTTCGAATCGCTGGTGACATGGGTCGCCCTTCAGGTCGACACCGAGAAGCTTCGCGCCATGAAGACCAATGCGAAGGACTTTTGCCGATCCATCGGCGACGTGGTCTTCAACGATAATGTCGGCTACACGATCCACCGCCTCGTCATTGTCGGCGACGACATCGACGTGTACAACTTTAAGGACATAATCTGGGCCTTTTCCACCCGCTGCCGCCCTGACCTGGATGAATATCATTTTGAGGACGTCCGCGGCTTCCCGTTGATTCCATACATGTCGCACGGCAACGGTGACATTCGCATGGGGGGAAAGGTTGTTTCCGATTGTCTAATGCCAACCGAGTACACCACCGGCCGTGACTGGGAAGCTGCGAGCTTCCAGGAGTCGTACCCGGTTGATGTCCAGGAGAAAGTGTTGCAGTGTTGGGAGTCATTTGGATTCGCTTCCACATGAAATATGGTGCAATACTCCGTACATTACGAAAGTATACGTTATGATAAAAGGGAAATAAATGATTACATAATCCCATCACAGAACCTTCAATTTCACACTAGAGTGGGCAGAAATGAATCGTTTTCATAGTTCTGATCCGACATGATGTAGTCAAAAGCTCCGAGCGGAGACATGTCAAAATCGATGGGAAGTTCCCACTGAGCGTCGCCTATGTCCCAAAAGCTGGCTTGTTAACACTCGTGCTAGAGACTCAAGAGTGAAGTTGACTTACTCGGTTTGTTCCGACACCCGAAACGCACTATCTTGGCCTGTTGCAGGCCTTTCGCCGACAGCGGGCAGATTACCAGGAGTTGCAATGGCTTGGCTGTTGTTCTCCAGCGTTGAGCCACGCGAACTGACATCACGCTCCGTTAATTCTCGAAGAGTCCGCAGAGCTTTCAAAGCCTTCTGGAGTGTGCCTGAGAGCTGGCCATTGGTGCCAGATTCCGTGAGCAAGGCGGAGTCGACTTCCCCTTCTGAAAAGCTTGCAATGAGCTCGTCCTGCAGGGTCCTAGTCTCGGCAAGATACCTTGTCTCTCGCATTAAGCTTAAGAGAAGAACCGACGTTAGCCCATTATGAATGAAGGCCCAAGACCGGCTTGCATGTCCTGCAATTGACCTCAACCGTACATAAGCCCGGACGCTGCGCTTGAGAGATTCTCGAAAGTGCTCGAGGACGTTCGACCTGTCACATTCACTGATCCCCGTTGATCCACTCCTCGCTACGAAGGTCGACAAAGAGTAGCTACGACAAAATGTCGGTGAAGTTCGAAAGCGTAGTGTTCTTGAATCTGCGGTATTGCCGCGCTTCTTGTGGGATCGATTAAGTGGGGCGAAAGACAGGCTTCGATGGATTTGATAGAGTCGAGTGCTGAGACTGGCCTGAGTGACGATTGAAAATGGAACGAGAGATGGCGCAATGTGACGTGACATAGCCAGCTCATAGCTTGCAGATAGGACAGACTTGAGCCTTCGACAGACTCTGAGAGCTGAGGTAAATCGCCTTCGCAATCCAGCTCATAGGAGCCTGGTGGGCGACCAAAAGCGAGCGCAAGGAGGGCATCCTGCCAAACAATTGCCAATTTGACCACTAATTAATAACTCTATTTTTACAGAAGGCGCAGATATGATGTACCTGAAATACTTGCCTCTTCATCCGGGAGCGGAGATTTTGTTGGATGGGCTGTCTTCTTGTGAAGACCCAGGCATTGCGCGAGGCGGACGGTTGTGCCCCCGAGAACCCAAGCTGCCTGAGGTTTCATATCAATTTGAAGCACATTCCCTAAGAGAAGGAGTGTGTGAACGGCTTCTTTGGATGGAGCCGCGAGATAATCTGTCGATGGTAGGAGATCAAACGACTGCTTCGCTGTGGCTGATCAGCATCTTGTCGAGGTGGATGGAATGATGGGCCGATTCAGGACCCACTATGTCGTTGAGACATTGCAAGACGATCTTGTAAATTCATATCGGAGAATTGAGCTCCAGCCGCCAAGATGGCGTGAAGTAGAGACAGCCACCTGGGGTCTTCGAGCAACTCTGAACCAAAGTCCGGTCCTCCCCTTGCGTTGATCAGCCGGCAAATTCTTTGCTCGATGGCATCTAAATTGCAAGTTATGACGTGGAAGGGGTGCACGCGACGGCGAAATATTTCAAACAGCCTGACAATGTCTTGATCGTTTGGTAGAGACTGGTAGGACGATACGGACGTGTTCGCTTCTTCGCTGACGCCAAGGAGAGGTAGTATGCCTGTTTCAAAAGCAGATTGTCGAGCTGGATCCTCTCTAGACCGGGATGAGCGCCGTCTGACCATGCCTACCACCGAACTATCGGCTAGACATAGTCGGTCACTACCTTCGTGCGCAGTGGACATATTGTTAGACGATGCCGATGCATGTGGATTGGGTGCGTTATGGGCTCCTTGACTAGGGATGTGATCTCCTACCCGTTCCTCGACAATATCCCAAACTGATCGCGTCCGCTTCCTCGAACTCCTGAGATCTGCTCGGAGTTGAAATGACTACAGAAGTTCTTCTCGCAGATCTTGCTGGCGACCGCAGGATACCAAGCGACTGTTGTGTAGACAGCGCTGCATACCAATCAATCAAGCCAAGCTTGGGTGACGGGCTTGTCTGATTGACTGATTTTTCACAAGAAGCTTGCTTGATTTGACTGGCTTGGATTGAATTGATTAATATTACCTATTTAGGAAGTCAGTGAAGCTCTCACGATGTCTCTATGCGTCAGAAACTTACATTATCTGATGTTCTGATGTCATCCTGCCCTCCGTCAACCCTTCCGCTTGAAGTAATGCCCACCAACAGCAACGCTGCCCCCTCGAACCCAGTTCTGGAGGCATTGTGTCTCCTCAAGCAGTGATGGTTTCATGGATAGCCTCTGTGACGTCAGCGTAAGTTTGGCAAGGCTGAATGCCCTCTCGCAGTCGGTCGCCATCGCTGGGATAGCAAAGACGTCGAGGGCAAGTTTACTGAGCGTTGGGAAGGTCTGTTGATGTGAAATCCACCACTGAATAGGATCGTCGACGGGCTGGGCAACTGAGAGGGTGAAGTATCGATCCAGCTCGTCAACCTCGTCGATAGTAGCGTCATGGAGGCTGCTGTTTAACCATTGACGATAGTCAGAGTCTTCAACCCTCGGAGGAACTGCGGTCGATACAAAAGAGCCTCGCGGAGGCTTTGGAGGAGGCTCTGGATAGGTTGATTCTTTAGGACGGGTAGTCATCTCGGCATACCATTGCTCCCAATAGTCTCGAAGTCCTTTCTGGGCGTCATGAAGCCATCCTCGCGTCTCTGGGGTGTTCCAACGCTTCTTGAGCCATCGTAGGCCCCGGCCAGGGTGTAAGATCACTGCTGCGGCGTAGAGAGGAGACTCTCCAAGCTTGAGGTAATATTTGTTAAGTACTTGCCAACCATTAATAATCGATAGGCGTAAGTATCCGTGAGAGTCGAAGTTAATACCCTGGGGGCGGCGCGGTTGACTCTGCTGCGAAGTAGCGATATAGTCAGACTGGGTATGAGTTGGGATACTGTTGATTGATGGGGTCTGCGAGACTGGCGTTCTGGCAGATCGATGCGATGCCCTTGCTGGTCGAGATAGCTGTGATGAAAGACTTTGGGATACTTGGGTAGCCGTGAGGTTAATCTCGTCGGTAGTAAGGGTATCGTAGAGCTTGCGCCAGTCCTCAAGTCGATCCAAGAGATACTCGATGCCTGCCAGAACCTCCCAGAGTCGACCATGCCCGTCACCCTTGCCCCAGCCCTCACATCTCTTAGTCTGCTTATAGAGGGGCTCGAGAACCTCATTCAACTCGACGAGGACTTGCCAATCCTCGTTAGTGAGGATATCCTCACTTGGGACATAATCTTCGTCATTTTCGAGGCCCAGAGTGTGGCATACGTAACCATTGATCTAGGTACGTTTGAGTAGGGCCCGGTTGATCATGTTATATATCGAGTTCCATCGAATAGTGTTACTCAACATCAGATTCAGCTCTTGTGACGATTCCTCCCACAGAGTAAAGGCATCATCATCATCAGCAGCCTCGTTACTAATTGCTAAGAAGCACTCAGAACGTTATGGCGATGATCTGATATACTTGATGATGTTCCGGAGCTTGCCGACTGGGCCCCTAGTCCTCCAGTAGGCTAGGTCCTCTTTCACTCTTCCAGCGTTAATAAGACGGTCAGACTCTTCCTCAAATGCCTCCTCATCAACGCCATGAATGATGGCATGGCCAACGAGGTTGAGGATGTGGCCATAGCATCGAATTCGACGTTGTTGAGCGTCAGTTTTTGTATATAAATGTGATAGAGATGGGTAGAGAGCCTTGATACAAGTGTCGTTAGCACTGGCGTTGTCAGAGACTGTCACACCAATCCTGTTGAGTAGGTCCCAGTCCTTCATAACAGTATGTATCGTGGTAGCAACATTCTCACCAGAGTGAGCACCAGGCTGGCGGCGGAGACCTAAGAGGTACTGCGTCTGTTTACCCGACTGGTTGATGAAGTAGCTGTAGATGGCGACGATAGCGTATCGATTGGGTGAGGTCCACAAGTCAAACGATATATGGATCTTCGAGATTGCCCTCTGTATCTCGGTCTTGATCTGTTCCTTCTTGGATATGTAGAGTCGTCGAAGTTGTTCCCTCTGGCTAGATCTCGACCACCGGATCTGGGCGTTGACGTCGTGATTAAATAGGCTGAGCATGTGCTGCAAGTACTGGTTGCTGAACGTTGTGAGAGGGTTGCTGGTATCAACGAGGAATCCCACAGCTAGCTCTTCGATCTGGGTAGTTGTCCGCTTAGGTATGGCGATAGGAAGAGATTGGTGGCGCTTGGATGGAGGCCCAGGGGCGTCAGCCTCATCAGAAGACGTATAGCCAGCCTTCTTGCCACCTCGGAAGATGGAGTGCTCGTTCTCGAGATGCCTGGCAGCAGCAGATGTGGCGTTAGCGTTGAAGGGCTAGTCTAGAAACCCTGCCTCGTCGCAGCGTCGGCAAACCCAGTAGGCATTACCCCTCACGCCGTTGGCAAGGATCTCGTAGACAAAGATGCCCTCTTTTGTGATCCAAGAGGTACGGCCTCGGTTACCCTTCCTCGAGATAGCGTCAACGTTGACGAACCGCCGGCCCTTCCATATGGCGTAAGGTAAGGCGTCGAGAGTATTGCGCGTGGCTAGGTCGGCTGTCGACGCGTTTTACTGGCACTTCCTGGCAGGACCTAGCAGTCAGGTTAGTACTGCCAGGAAGTACCGGCCCCACTTGGCCACCTGTTAACGTGAGGGCATCACCAACTCGACGTCCGTAACATACGCGGATGGACTTTTTTTTATTTTTTGAAAGTTATTTCAGGAACTATGATTAGTCTAGGGGCCCGGATTTTCCTTTTTCCGGGCAACGTTAGCTTGATCAAGTCAGCCAAGCTTTCGGCGCTGTAGGTTTGTCTGATTGAATGGGGAAATGGCCTTGGATTGATTGGTTGATTGATTGATTCGGCTTGGATGGGATGCTGCGCTGTGTGTAGAACTTTCATACTCGCATAGATCCGGGTGTCCCCTTTTGTCGCAGGTCGAACACGGCAACTCTTTGTCGCATTTGACCTTTCTTTCACGGCATGGTACACACGACTTAGGGCTACCACGGACGCCATTGCGGTTCCGTTGCCGGGATTTGAGGAGTTCGCGGAGGGCTAAGCGGTCATCATTCGGGGTGTTCGGAGATCGACGGAATGATGAGTCCATCGAGAACGACAGATGGGCGTTGACAGTGAGTGACGGAAGCGTTGACGTTCAGATCACCCTAAGATAGTCTATATTGAGAGTTGCCAGATCCGGGCAAAATTCTCGGGGCTGTGGAATCTCAAACGCAATAAGGGCGAGGCAATTGCTGCCGTGACGTCTAAATCACGGTGTCAGGTTCCCACCGAACCTTACCTAGTCGAGAGGTCGACTTCGGCCTTCGGAGAAACCTTGGCTCGGAGCAAGTCCGGATCCCGAACTGTTTTGTGCCGGACAGGTCCACTTATTCTGCCCTTGGGTAATCTACGTGCTTACTGACGGAAACTATATGTACCCACAACTACCTAAATGCAGTAGAGGGATCTCTCTGTTGTATATGGCGCAACGGTACAATTCCGAATTCTGTCAAATACACATATTCGCATCCGCCCCTGGTCCTTAGGTAAGTGACAGAATTCGGAATTGTACCGTTGCGCCATATACAAAAGAGAGATCCCTCTACTGCATTTAGGTAGTTGTGGGTACATATAGTTTCCGTCAGTATTCAATCCACTTACTGTGCTGCGCCAGATTGTCTCGAAGACCGTTCCGAGATTTGCCTACAATTCAAGAAAGTCATATTCCAACGTCCCGAATACCCGCTCTTGCATGGCAATCACCTGCCAGGGCCTGTAACTTTCACTACATTGGGTAATTACCTTAGCTAGATGCCATAGTGATGAACAGGCTTTCAATCCCTCGGACTTACGAAGGCCAATACAATAGGACCAACATTGAGAATCAAAACCACTTATCACCCGACAGTTCGCATGCATGCTAACAACATTGACGACAGGGGTATTTATTTCTGCGGCCTGCTGTACGAGTGATGTAAAGATTTATGCATCTCTTCGCACGAAAGCACGACGCCTTCTGATTTTCTCACTTCAAATGCCAGAAAGAACTGCGTCAAGATACCACGAACCTCGACCAACCGCCTTCTTTCGTCATTTCTAACTCCAGACCTCTTGGGGTCTATCCCGAAAAGAGCAATTACCATAACCTGAGCCGAGAATTAACGAAGAAAGCGCCCGATCTCAACTCACCTGAGGCTAAAGTGGCTTGGTGGACTGCACGCAGCACTTGTCGCCATCAGTAAGATACCGCCATGTGATATGCCGGATATGGTGTCTTTTCTCACTCATCCTGAGAACTCAAAAATTCCCGAGCAGTGTCTCGGGCCGACTTTGCTCCTCGGCCAAGGGCCGAGACTCCTCTGCCGGGGAGTCGACGGTTGTTGGACCGACGCCTTTTTTGGGTCGGTCTCCCATCAACTCGCTCACTCGTGGCTCGCCTTGCCTGCTTCAAGATGACCGAATGCCTGGAAGCGCTGGGAAGAGGCGGGAGCTAGCTTCGAGCACTAATGCCTAATACATCTTTTCTTTTCATGCCCGTTCGTACAGAGTGAAAGACTCGATGATTAAGACACTGCGCTTGAATCGACAGAATAACGACGAAAAGCTGCCGAGGAGAAAAGCTGATCGATGGATCCATATCGTGAAAAGAGATCCGAGATTCTACCGGATACGTTGGCCTATCCAAGGGTCATCCGAGCTGGGCCGTCTTTCTGACGATACAGGAATGGACTTTATGGTCGTGCATATTGCTAGACGTCCACTGGCTCATATACAAGAAGTTTGGGAGATATACGCACAAAAATACCATTCTAGGCCGGGCGTGTACTCAAAAAGAGGTGGTGTGGGTAGAAGAGACACATCACTTCGCTGAGACTAGCCCTGATGTTTCCACAATGGTCAAAGAAGATGTTAGAGTGATCAGATGGGCACAGTCCCATCTTTGAACTCCTAAAGAAACAAGTGGCTCATTACTCGTATCTCATTTCCAGAGAAAAAAAAAAACCTATCACAAAGCGAGGAAGAAAGTGGAAGACATATATAGTAGAAAGTGGCTTGATTCCTCTAAGTGGAAGACCCGTATAAGGGTCGTATCTATATACTGTACAAGACGGGTAATCGGCTTGTAGAAAGCGGTATCGTGGGGCAGTAATCGGCAGCGCCACGTGTGGCGCTACTTTTATCTTTTCTTGGCCAGGTTCTGATCAAAGCCGTTATGCCCAAATTAAGCATCCTTCACCACTGGCATCCTGACAGAATCCATGCATGCTTCTACGCGAGTCATGGACATAACCCATTCGGAATGGTCTGACCATCACGAAACAGGCCAGACTGTCATTTCCACCTGGTCCTAGCTCTGCAAGACTTATTAGGATAGCATTAGGCCCACAAGCCTGTGGTGATTCCATCCACTCTTTAGTACGAATAGACGCTCTTTTCTGCTCACTCACATATGCATATTCCGCTGGCCACCCTGACTAACCGTCACATCCCATAACATTGTGGCTTGGCGGGCCTGCCACTCCTTGAGTATCCCTTGAATTAATCAATTGCCATAAATCTGTCAGTGCGGTAATGTCCTGTCCAGCTGTCGGCCGTACCGATGATTGGCCGCTGCTGGGGTAGTCTGACTCGTGCGAGCAATTTGAAAGCTCGTGCCGTAAGGCTGCACACACAACTTGTCGGTGACGCCATGAATACAATCAAATCCCTGCTGTACGGAGCACTCAGTACGCAGTAGGGAAAGTTTGCACTCTTGTCCTCTACGGATCTGCCGAGTCAATCGGCCCACTCTTATGTATGATCTACACTTTTTGCAGGCCAATAGGAGCACGCAAAGAGCAGCCTTCCTACATGAACGATCCCAAAACATCATCCTGCGGTTCGCTTCCATCCGACATGTTATCAAGCATAGACCACATGAATACTGATGTAAGTCCTTGAAACTTGAATTGTGGTTAGTTACTGTCGGAACGGCAAGGCTGATAAGGAGCAATGGGCAGGTATCGTGGGCTGGCTGGCGCCTGCCCTGGGCGAAGTGGGACAACCGGCTTAGTCATCACGGCCGGTTAAGGTGGGGCAACCACCCAGGCCGTCACCACCTACTTCGACCGACCCCTGCCCACAATGTAAATAGGAAGAAAGAAGAACAACAACAGCAATTATCACGGACATCGACGTGATTGTTGCCGAAGATACACCCTCATGAGGAAATGTATCACGCCTGTGATACCAACAGTTACTTAAATTTTCGCTGCTTCATTCACCCTCGGATGTTACCAGTTCGCGATTGAACCGCATTCTTAGTTTCCAGACAAAAATATTGCGACTTTTGGAATGCATCGCGCACAAATGTAATATTTCGACAATGTGAAAGTACCCTTCGGGAATTAATGACCTACCCATGATGCCAGAAAATCTGAAGGACAGGGACTGGGTCATACGGTAGGTAGCCCCTCATCTTCAAACAGCACGAAGCCTCTTGTCGAGTTGGCATGTGAGAAAGAAGGTCCATGATATAGACCTGACCAAGAAATTTCGACATGCAGCTTTATGATGTGTGAAATGAATGATTCTGCCGTCCTCTTAATAACTACTAAGTAAGTGTCATCCCGGCAAACTCTCCTGATATCAATCCTTGGTTCGTGTATGTAGACTGTCGTAGGGTATATATGGCGTTAATTGCTGCCCGTAATTAACGGCGTCGTTTTTGCGACATAGACTAAGCGGAATGTGCAAGTCCATCGCCCAAGCTCCCATTTCAGAAACGTTCCGAATAGACCTCCTGTGCAGGATTGTGATGACTACCCGCACAAACTTTTCGATGATAATTGGCGCCTTGGGAGAACTATCCCAAGGCATCAAGGAGTGCCAAGGGACCTATAATAATTCCCACGCGACACACTGCTTTCGATTAGTAGCCTGCAGAAATTTGTATACGACTTCCCCGCTGAAAGACCGCTTACAGCAGTGCATTTACTTTGAGATGAACACAGCTAGAGTTTAAGACCTCCATCGGTGCTTAGCCTAATCCCATTTTCAGGGGTTGTCTGCAAGTAGATCGGAGACCGTGCACTCATCACCGCAGGGGCACGAATATTCCATCTCAACACAGCATGTCTTTTGAGAAACAGTTATGATATTAAAAGATTGTCTCTGATTCGTCACAATGTGTGAATCTGATTGCATTACCACACCCCGTCACGCAACTTCCAACGAAGGTGGCAGTATTGTAAGTATACCGAGGAAGGAGAAGATAAGAGGATCAAGAAGGCCATAACCTAGAGAGAGTATTGAATGGAAGCTTCAGTGTGAGTGGCAAAGACCACAAATGTCAACCCAGTTTTCCGTCATTATGTGTCGGCCCCTGATAGGCTCGTAAGTCCAACACTTCGGGTTCGGGCTCCGTCCCACGCTGTCTACGACGACGTCGCCTACGCCAAACGAAGTATCCGGCCAGTAAGAACACCATTATGGTAACTGAGATTAGTGCCATGTTAGTGCATGTAGGAATTAGGGGCTGGAGCAGATTCTCTTATTGTGGTTCCACCTACCTATTCCTGATACAAAGCCGAGAATCGCGATCCCAACCTCGGTGAAAGTTGGAACGCCCTGGGTCATGTTGATGTTGATAGCCGGTGGTTGGTATTGTTTCACTCCATCTCCGCTGCGCAATGCCGTGTTTTGGTCAGCTGCTGGGATTTGTGTTGCGACTACGGTTACTGTTGGTGGTGCTAAGGTTACAAAGACGGTGTTTGTTGGGCCTCTTGATGCCGGTGGAGGTGATGGCGGTGGCGGCGGTCCATGGGGTGGAAGCGGCCCTCCCGGGGGTGGAGGTGGCCCCTCAGGCGGAGGAGGCGGCGGCGGCGATGGCGGAGGAGGTCCCTCGGGCGGAGGAGGCGGGGGTGGTGAAGGCGGGGGAGGTCCTTCTGGGGCGGCGGCGGCGGTGAAGGAGGTGGTGGTCCTTGAGGAGGCGGCGGTGGAGGTGCTTGTCGTCCCTGGTGTTGGTGTCTTTGATCAAGATTCAGTCTTGGCGGTGGAGGTTTTCTGCGAGTCAATGACAATCCTGCCATTTTGTCAGACTGAACAAGCGGTTGTCCGTATTTTCGGTCCTAAATGTGTTAGTGATGCAAAAGTTTTAAAATCAATCTGTCCAAGTATTATACCGCAACCCGAATGCCTCCCACTTCCATGTCATTACGCTGTCACACAAAAGTGATAGCGTCTAGAGGAGGAGACACAATGTTTTGAAGGGTGAAAAAGAGGCGAAGATAATTTTGATCGCTCGGGATGATGGTATGTATCAAGCCTGGCAATCGGCTAGAGAATGCAGGGGCGTCCGCCATTGATGTATTCATATTCACTTTTGGTCGCAATTATTCTGATAAGACACTTTTCCTGGAATTCCACTTGGATTGCTTTTGTTCCACTCGTGCTGTCGCTGCAACACTCGGCGCAGGGCAACCCATCTGAGCTTCGGCAAGTTGAACTATCCAATTTTTTGGTTTCAAGCTTTTTGCACACGAACCACTTACGTCCAGTTGACAGGAGTGAAACAGAGTTAAATTCTACATCTGATGACCGCGACATATTGCTAAAAATAGCATGACTCACAGACAAAGAGCACATAGCGTCGACGTTCCGAGGTTGCATAGAATGAATTCTCCCAAGGTCTTTCAAATTTTTGACCGAGCAACCCGGCAGTTGAAGATGGTGTTCAAGCTCACAAAAAGTAGCTCCAATTCTCTGTTCGATTCATCCACACGCTGCGTCAATCAATCGCTGCAGCTTTCGGCCGATTTGGAGTGATTGTCTATATTTAGAATACAGGTAGCATACACGTAGGTACGCCAGAAATCTGCTTTGACTGACTGCGACAACGGCACTTGAATTCTCAACCGTTGCAGGCAGCGTGTACAAGTTGGAAGGTTCAATAGTTGCTAAACTCGTTTTCCTAGAGAGTTGAGGCCAATAAAGAGCTTGCAGGTGGTTGGCCATTTAAGGCGATACTGCCCGGCGCAAAGCTCCTCACAATCACGGTAGGTTCGAATGCCTACATCAACCCCCCTCATCACATCTCAATTGGGAGTTTGAAACATCGCTTGACGTTATGCTACTTCTGATACAAGGTTCATCTCCGCTTTATCGCTTTGCGAGAGGTATTCCGGAAGACAGAGGTCGCGCAGGCGAGTCACAAACCTAGCCTTGTACGTGCCGCTTCCCAATACATCTGGTGCAGTCAGTTGATGTTCCAAAATGGGCTCACAGTAACATTATCAGTGTGTTATTGATCGGTTGTTGATCCGGCGTGGATATGGAGCCGTCCGTAAGCTGATGAGTATCCAGCCTCTCTCGTTTTAGCTTAATGGATGGAGAGATCTGGTTATGAAGAATGAACACAGGGTCTTCAAGTCACAGGGTTGCCCAAACACGATTCTAAAAAAGAGCATGAGCCCTTATTATTACACATTCACTAGCTCGAACCTTTTAAGAAGTTAAGATCGCTCCTCCTAGGATGGGGGTGCAGCCTATTCACCGGATCGAGGCACCGACCGCACAAGGACTAGTGTCATCTTGTGAGGTTTGTCTTTTGGTCTCGGAAACATTCTGTCAAGTATCCGTGCGAATTGAATGACAGGCTCAAACATCGGCAAGCGGCAACAAATAGCTCAAGAACGTGCCAATCGGTGAGGATGGCGTTGCTACGCCATACTACAATCTTCTTAGCCACGAGCGTGTGTAAGTGATCGTGAGAAGGGTAGAGCCGGGGAGACATGTTTCACTTGCGTACCTTACATGCAGCCTGTAGGCCTAGATAGTCCACTCGGCCCACCGGACCTGCGACAATATGGACAGACCACTGGGCATCAGGCAATCCGGCGGTTGACTATCCGGCGATGGGTGATGTCGCAAAAACGACGCCGTTAATTACGGGCAGCAATTAACGCCATATATACCCTACGACAGGTGACGCGTCGGTAAGTCATCCGGAGGCGGCTGAATGGTAAAGGTGCTCTGCCAAAGTTCTGATGGAAAGTAAAGTAGCAATGCAGTCCGGCGACTTTGATCATCGGGGTTCCCCGGGCCCTGCCGAATTGTTGCGGAGATGGGGTTTTACCTTGTCCCGCACGGTAGTATCCGGCACGCCGATAATGGTAGAGCATATTCGTTAACTGAGACTTCGGTTTTGTTTCCGAGGGAAATTCAATGTCCCGAAAAGCCATCTCATACATACCTTGTGTAAGTTAGTTTAGTGATTATTCTTTGTGTGTGCAAATAGCGAATGTGGCATAGGTATATGGCTTGTCAATAATGTTTCACAACGTGAATCTCAACAGCACATCATGTCACTTAACAAGCACAAGCTGCATTCATCAACAATTCATCAACGAAAGTGAGAAAACTACAGTCAAGCCATCTTGCCAAATTCTACCACTTTCACTCCGTAAGAGATTTCAAAAACAAATGGTTGTTGAAGGTGTGGTATAATCACTAGTCCACTCGAGCCTATAGGACCTATAGGATCCCTAGAGCGGTACTATAAGGGGCTAATTACTGATCCTAAAGGCTTCCAGGCCTTTCTCTCCGTGACGGACTTCTTCCAGAAGATCTGCCCGCGGTACTAAGGACTAGGTCTTGACCTAGGCCCTACCAACGACCCCCTCCTCGTAGAGGATCTGACGGTCACAACGGAACTAGAGAACCAGCGGGTACTAGGGACGAACAGGACACATAGTAGCCCACGGGCAAGACTTGGAGGACGTTAGGAAGAGGCGTGTACTGTAGAGTATGTAGCTTGAGCCTGCGGCCCTCCACGCCATATACCCCTCGGGAGGTCGGCCGCAAGGGCGGCTGCGCCCTTGCCGCCACGGCGTTAAATACAACAACAACAACAAAGTGTGGCATAATCAAGCTGTAGAGTCGCGCAATTGATGGCCACCCATTCGGAGAGCTACTCCAACAACTTGGCAGGCGTTGAGACTTGAGCCTTGGCAAACCTAGATCAGCTTGCACATTGTCGCGATTCAGAAGAGCCTTGAAGAGTAAAGAATGTTTACATGTTACATCAAGGAATTGAGCGTTATTGGCGCTTACGTAGTCTTGGCGACGTAGTTGAATGAACGTCAATGCACATTGAAAGCCGGGGTGAGAGTAAAGTCTTCCGTGAAGCAGCAACTCGGTATCTGGTTCATAAAACCAATTGATTATCAACATTAGAAGAGGCACTAGTTAAGGTTGCGCATATGGATCGTGATACAAGTTTCTCATCTTTTTGAGTCGCTCTATCTCGTCGCTTTGATGCGCTGTAATGGGGCATTGAGCTGCAGGATACCCAGGTAGAGACTAGAGAAATAGCATTCGCCATATCCCGAGTAAATTGCGTCGTCGCTGGGCCCGGGGACTTCTAGAAGATTATCGCCGTGGCTCCGGCATTTCTAGACCACTGATCGCACCAAAGGGGAATCTGTATGGTGGGCGCGAGCTAAGCGTGGAATCATGGGACGCCTTAACTAGCCGCTTAACTTCTAATTTCTGTCCAATGCCTTTTGATGCTTGCCTTTTCTTCTGTGGTTAATTGGATCCCAAACCAATCCTCCAGGGCCTTGACCCTATCGCTCTCATGCTGGCAGTCTTTAACGATACGGGTCTTCCCTCCCAGCTTCTCCTTCAAAACGGAGCCTACCAACATCCTCTTTCCGATAATCTCTTCATCACCTTCCGCCCAATCTTCAAGATTTGCTCTCTTTCCGAGAAACTTGACAACTGATAGGCGAAATTTTGGGAAAGAATCGTGTGACGTGCTTGTATACCAGTTCACGACTTTGAAGTCTGCTTCCAAAAACTCCCCCTCGGAGAAGGCGTAAAAAGAGTTCAGCTCCTTTGCTAGTCCATTTCGGTACTGGTAGATCCAGAGTTTCGAAGCTTCTGTCCGAAAGACTTGGTTCGCGATATGGTCCTGCACCAGGCGGACCTCTTGAGTACCAAGATTTTGCAATGCCTGATCATGTGTCAAGGGAATTGGCTTGGTAGCGCCGTCGCCTCCAAATGCCACATCGATCATGTAATGCATTTTGTCTGGGAAGCCTACAAGGCTGACCATGTGTGTCCTGATGATCATTAGCTGATAGCCTAGGGATTGGATGATACACCGGACGGGATACATTTACTTACCAGCCGCGATTCGGAGTAGAGCAAAGACAAATTTTCGTAAGGAATGGTTGAGATGGTGTGTGCGTGGAGGGCGGTGAGATAAGCTAGATTACGAACCGGCTTGTTGCACTGCCGATACTTTGTGAGGAAACAGACAAGCCCTTCGAAGAGAGCTATCTGCTCTTGGTTGTAAGCTGATTTTGACAGTCCCGTCATCATCAGGTAGAGTCGCCGCGGAAATATGAAGGTCTTTGAAATTTGAGATGTTGCTCTGAAGTTTTATGTCGCTACGTTGGGTTACAGTGCTCGAACTTGATATGCATCGGAACAATCAAGGATTGTTGAGTCACACAAATTCTTCACCGGCAATCGTCCCGGTGCAACCCGAAAGTATGCCAACACTAGTCCAAGATTGATCCGGAGACTGATTGACGAGTTATGAATGATTTGAATCGGCTCCCTATCGAGTCGAACTGGATTATCAATTGCTGCTGAGCATAATTAACATCGTTTGTGGAGGACAGAGACCATAAACCGGTTCCTTAGTGGATAATATGATGGGAATTGATATACCGGCGTCGCAAATTGATACACCGGCGTCGACCTTACACCGGCGTCGCTGTTCGACCTTTTGATTGGCTCAAAAAAATATTGTTAGTGCAATCAAATTCTGCCAGATACCCACAAAGTATCTCAACCCTTTTTGTTCCTTTGCTCCCTTTCCTCTAAGATTACATCATCAAGCCTCTAAGTCTGACTTATGCTATTTGCTTACAATGGCTTCTCTAACTGGAGTTAGAGATGTTCCACAAGGCCAATCTCAAAGCAATACCACTACTAATAAACCTCCCCCTATACGAGAGCGACTATTATTTAAGTACGGCCTCCCACCATTATCTAGCTAACCACCATCATCTCCCTTCTTAGAAAGCAGCCGCCCTAACGTTAGCCAATTCTATAGAGTTAGTGATCCTCAAGGGCAGCGCGACCTTATCACCAAGCTCCCAGCCAACATACTATAAGACACGCGACCTCTTACATACGATTATCCTAATATAGAGCCTACGCTATATCTTACTCATTATTTGCCTAAAGGAATAATAAAAACCCAGCGGACTACTCTCCCACGACTTTCTCCAGAGCATAGCCCCTCTTCTCCTAACGAACAGTCCCAGTAACCTTCCCATCCTACAACAGAGCAGTTCAATAGTGCTCTTTAGCTTGTTCTACAGGTTATTAGGACTAATCAACAGCTAACAACGGCACTCCTCCGACAACAAGAGTATGTCCATCAATAGCAAGAAACATAGGGTCCCTAAGTCAACCCACCACCCTATTCACCCCCACGGCAATCCTCCCCTCAAAGCGAAGCATCTTTCCAAACTGCAGCCTCCTACCACACTCTAAGCAACCGATCCTCCTCTCCTCCTATAACCGAAATCCCAAACCCACCGATTCCTGGCGATCCAGAGCAAACCTATAATGCCCTCTTCGACCGAGTTAATACCTTTACAAGAGCTAATGGATTTGGCATTATAAAGCGGAATAGGTATAAAGCTCGAGGCCGAATCATTCGATACACCTTCCAGTATGATCGGTTTAGCGAGCCTGGGCCTACATAAGGTGCTGGTATTCGATAGCGCAAGTCTCGTAAATACGGTTATAAATGGCAAGTTATTGCCGAGGCTCAAGAGGAGGGCCAGTGGCTCTTACGTTATCACCTAGACCCCCAGTATAGTCAGCATAATCATGGCCCTAGCCTTAAAGCTACTACATACCCTTTACATCGCAGGCTTACCTAGCTACTTTAGGATGCTATTAAAACTACAAGCCGACGAGTTAGGATTCGGGCTCGCGATGTGCGTGCTGTTGTCCAGGAGTAGTTCCCAGAGTCCTCATTCACCCAGCGAGATATCTATAACGCTAGGGCTCGTATAAATCGAGAGAAACTGGCGGAATATTTGCCAATTGCAGCATTAATCAAGCTGTTTGATGAGCAAGACATCCTATACGTGGTGAAATGGGCAGACGCCGAGCCAAACCGCCTTATTGGCCTTGTCTGGACCTTTCCCTACTGTCTCCAAATGTGGAAGCGATTCCCTGAGGTGATTAGCTTTGACAACACCTACAACACCAATCGCTTTAAGCTCCCTCTCTTCCAAGCTACTGGGCAGACCTGCCTTGGATTTATTTATAACGCTGCGTTTGGCCTTATCGACAACGAGAGACTAGAGGGTTTCCAGTTTCTCTCAGCAGGGATCCGCCAACTCATGGACCAACACTCAGTCCGTTACCCCACTGTTATTATTACAGACTACGACAAGCAGATGAAGGCTGCACTGAATGAGCAGTTCCCAGACGTGCAGCAACAACTCTGCATCCACCACATCAATTCTAACGTTATGCTCAGGGCTAAGCAGAAGTGGGTTAAGGACCGCAGCTGTAGCAGTAACAGCAGTGGGTCTGATGACGAGGGATATCAGCTACCAATACAAGCAATGGCCACGCTAAGTGATGAGGATGAGGCCTATATCAACACATCTATTGATAAGCCCCCCCCTCATACGTATCGTGGGGTCCTTATGATGTGGAAGCTTGTTGTTTTTGCTGAGACTGAGCACGCTTTTGAGAGAGCCTGGACCAAGCTCTGTAAAGAGTTTAACGACCAACGCCCAATCCTCCAGTACCTCCACATAACATACCTACCTGTTGGAATAGGCCTACATTAGGCAGCAGGAGGTTGCTGCCGCGGTCCGTTCCAGCCACGGTGGTCCGTGTGGCTCAGCCACACGAGGGTGGTATACCCCAGACTTCCTGCCGCCGCTGGCACCTGGTTAGACTTCCAAAAAAAGAACAACAAGAACAAGCAATATCACCACTACAGTCGGTGATCGTTGCTACCCACGATACTCGAGTATTTTCCTTTTCCACCTGTGAATCCAACACTACCTTTAAGAGCACAGTGGGCCCGCTGCTCTATCCGAAAATACCAGAACTTTGGTGTTCGCGTCACCTCTGGCACTAAGTCAAGTAATAACAACATTAAGAGTTATCTCTTAAATGATCTTAGTCACCTATATCGACTTGTTGATGTTATGTAGGACATGATTGGTGACCAGGAGATACGCTTCAGGCAAGCTTATGCTAAGGATGAAGTACTTACAAGCCGGGAGTATATAGGTACTCGCTTTGAGTACCTAGGCGAACTTCGAACGATGCTTTCCTCGAAGTGTCTTGCATTAATTGGGAAGCAATACCGGCTGGCAAAGAAGGCAATGCCGTCTGGCACGAGGCCATTCCCAGCCCCCCTTGGAGACTGTGGTCCAGACTGCACTGTTTCAATTGAGCTAAGTATCCCATGCTGCCATAAGATCTACTCCCAAAAGTTAAATTCAGCTACTTTCAGTAAATGGGAGGTACACCCTCGGTGGCGTCTTCGAGAGACGTCTTCCTCAGATCCATACCGCCGGATCCTTGACCCTAAGATTGCTGCATCCCTCCGCGGCAGGCCAAAGAACACAGTGCAGCCTGTCCCATCACAACTAGCCTTACCTGCAGAGGGCCAGTCAGCCAGACAAGCCCGCACTACCTACAGCAGCCAAGGCGCAAGTAGTAAGAAGCGAGGCCGCCCACCTGGGAGCAAGAATAAGTCGACGCTAGCTGGGCTTACACAAGAGACAAGTCAGCCAATTCAAAGCCAGATATCAAGCTCATCCTAGCGACAAACAAGGAGCCAGTCTAGTGTTCTTGGTAAGGGGAGGACAACAGGGAATCATGCAAGTGGACGACCGATGCAGCCTAGTGTTAGGAGGAAACGGAGTCAGTGGGAAATGGTCTGTAGTGACGATGAATCTTTGCAACCACGTCGTAAAAGGTAGTTAGGTAATAGGCCTTTCGAGGGGTTATATAGTCCCTATTTGAGATTTACAAACCTGGGGTATAAGTAGGCTGTAATACGTACTTTTAGAAATCTCAAATCCGAGCTTAGGTTAGAGAAGAGGGCAGGAATAGCCATGTTAGTGCAGTCACCCTCACCGCCTTTATGGGGAGGTATTGTTTTTTTGAGCCAATCAAAAGGTCGAACAGCGACGCCGGTGTAAGGTCGACGCCGGTGTATCAATTTGCGACGCCGGTATATCAATTCCCAATATGATATTATCGCCTGTATGGAGTGTTACGGCCAGCTAGTCGTAGGGGTATGTTTGCAGAAGTTGAGGCTGCGGAACTGGTAACAGTAATCGTAGTCGAGGATAGCTTCAGGGAAGCTATGTCTGTCAATCGTAGGATAAGGTAAGGCTTCGGTGGTCAATCGTAGTCTTGTCAAGGTGATAGCTGAAAGCGGATGTTAATCCTGATACGAAGTTAATTGCTGAAGAGCTATGGAAAGTCTGTCCTAGAGTCCGGCTCGAGTCCACCCTATATACAAGTCCTGGTCCTGAACATATCCCTTGTCAATGATCAGTTCCTCTGATCGGGTGAGCGCTCATTGTTTGGCATGATGATGATGGCCCCACCATGGCCGCTCTTGTCTTATCTTATCATCACGTGACTTGTACCATAGTTCTTCCGTTCCGTGAGAGGGTGCCTAGTGTCCCTTGTCTCCTGCAGCACAACTTCTGAACACATACCTCGAAAGGTACCCACTGTTAGTAATTGCTAAGGTTATAGAGGGCTACGGCCCACTGCACTATCATCTCTCAACATCAGCCCATACGAGCTGAATTCCACGACCATGGCGGTCTCCCTAGATATAGGGCCATCGATCACGGTTCACGGGGACGCCGGTATATCTCGGCGGTCGGGACGAGTCCGGAAGCCGACTATAAAGGTCAGAGTGGTTGAGCAGGTTAACCACCAGGACAATTCTGAGCTCAAAGACGAGATCAATAAGCTTTCGAATCTGGTCCAGGACCTCCTACGTCGGGACGCCGAGAGGGAACAGTTTTTGAAAGACTGTTTAACGAAGATCGAATACTTGGAGAGAGAGCTTTAGGAGGAGAAACAGCGTTCAAACCGGCATTAATGTAGTCTAGCAAGGTCTATGCACGCTATTGGCACAGGGCCTAGCAAGACTGACCTAAGTTCCCAGGGGCATCCCTCGCACATAACCCAGAACCAGCCGCCCCCAGTCCGTTCATACGCGGCGGCGGCGAGCCAGCCACTATCTAGAAGACAGGATGAACCAACGCCAGCCAAACAAGCCACAAAACAAGCTACAAACCGGGCGGCCTTAAAGGATCTACGCATCTTCGCGCATCTATCACCTAAAAACCCGCTTCGGAACGAGAAAGCTTACGACATATACATCTTCGTTCGGGAAAGGCTAAGTCCCTAAGCCCGAGAAGCCCTCAAGGGGATCGACCATATCAAGACAGGATTAGCACTCCTACCTTCGTCAATAGAAGGTGCAAAAGTCCTACTAGAGAACAGAGAACAGATCGCTGCCC